CCCCTGCCCTCTCTCTCTCTCTCTCTCTCTCATGATTGGCTTGCCGCCGTTAGGTGCCAGGGTTACCTGCTGTTTGTTGTGTGCACTGTAGCTAGTGATGCCAGTGGACACTGATTGGCAGCAAAATGCTGGGGATTGCTGGTCATGGCCTTGAATGAGAAATGGATGGCTTACATGGCTTATCAAAGGCCAGAGTTTTGTCGAGTTTTGGGTAGCCTGTTTAAGGAGGCCCACAAATCCCTGTCACCCAAAACGTTCACCAACCATGAAGCACATACTGAACAAACAGGTGGAGGGGGACTTGAGAGAACAGGTAGAGGCTCTGAGGGAGTCTGAGCCAAGAGCACCTTGCCATGCAAAATTCGAGTAGCGGCTGGGTTACCTGGGCAGCCCAGACCCACCTACCTGGGTCACACAGGCAAGCCAAGAAATGTTTTTTTTTTTTGCAAAAGCTCATGGTGGGGCATTTCTGTGCCCTCTCAATGTGCCCAAATCTGACCCTTGTCTTTGAATTTGTTGACGTCTCACCTTAGGGGCCGCGAACAGGGTTCTTTAAGGCCTTGAAGCACCAGCCCCCCCCCCCTCTCTGAATGGCATTCTGGCGGTAAAGGGGGGGTGCATGTGGACAGGTAGGCCCATGCAAAGTTCTCAAAGAAAAAGAGAGGTGCCGCAACCTCGATGATCGTTTGCGCTTGCACAAACATGCCCAAAAAAATCTTAAGAAAACTGAGAGAGAGAGAGAGAGAGAGAGAGAGAGAGAGAGAGAGAGAGAGAGAGAGAGAGAGAGAGAGAGAGATACACACACACACACACACATACACACACACACACACACACACACACACACACAGACACGGAGCTTGAAAAGGATACGTCCTCCTGTTAGTGCATTTTCTCCAAGATTGGTAGACAAGGGATCAGCAGCCTCTTCAGGTTCCTCGTTGTCCTCCTCCTCCTCATCTTCTTCATCTTCGTCTTCATCGTCCTCATCCTCGTCATCGTCAATTTCGTCCTCTTCTTCTGCTGCTGCCATCTCCATTTCTTTCCGCATTTGCTCCAGCTCTTCGCGCTCTGCTCCAACTCCCTCACCTACCCCCAAGCACTCGTCCTCTCCCTCTCCCTCTCCCTCTCCCTCCCCCTCAAGCTCTCGTCTTGTATCTTCCTCCGCCTCCCTCCCATCAGTCACTCCGCATGCTTGCCGCTCTTCGACTTCTTCGTTTGCCCCTCCTCGTTGGCGATCCTCCACGCCAACCGTTGACGCTCGCGAATGGTCCATTCCGATTGCCCCTGGACCTGGATTACCTCCTTGGTTCAGAGCATGATGGATCAAAGTCAGACGAGGATCACCTCCTGCAACTGTTGCTCCCCACACGTCTAACCCACCTACCTCTCCTCCTCCCCCCGTCCCTTGCCCCGCATGCATCATCATCGCCTGTTGACTCTGCTGCGCGTGCTGTTCATGCAAGTCCAGAGAGTCTATGACAGTCTTCGATTGACTTGCACCGGTCGGTCTGGAGCCACCTCCTCCTCCTCCTCCTCCTCCTCCTCCTCCTCCTCCTCTCCTTGATGCGCCTGTTCCTGCCCCCTTCCCCCTTTTCAGCCCCTTCTTGTGAAGTCCCTTTTTGTAGTACTCCGGCGCAAGCTGATTCATCAAGGACCCTTGCTGTCTCTCCCATTCGCGATGAGTTTTTGTCTTTTCAGACAAATCATCCGGAAGAAGCTTCTGGAACCGCGACCTAACAATCCGTCGGAAATTGTCCAATGTCTCTCGCGAAAACCATCCCGTATGTTCCTGGTCCCATCACAAAGCACCGTCTCCTTCTCCATCAGTAAGCACGTACAGAGTCATTACGGACACTCACACTTTTTTTTTCAAAGGAGCGCAACTCTCCCCCAAGTGAGACGCCCTGAACACAAGCCCACCTTTTTCCAGACCCAAAAGGCAAAGTTCCGGGAAAAAAGAAAATAAAAAAAATACACAAGCCAGTTGAAGCCACCCCATGTGGCCAAATGTGGATCACTGCTCATCAAAATGGGCTTGGCGGCCGAGATGGTCCCGTTCATTCACCGGCAATCAATCAGCCACCAGGATACCTGATCGCTCCACGCCTACTCGCACTTGGTACTCCGTCGTATTTTTTTTTTTTTTTTTAATTTCCCGACACTACTGTAATTAACGATGACTTTTTTAGTGAACATTGTAATTCACAGCCATAGCAGTTCATGTTGATTGGTTCAGCAGCATCAGATCTATCAGGCAACAACCGATGAATGGATTGGATTCTCTGTGACTGCCATCACATTAACTTCTGCGACTCTCCAGCCATCAATCAGCAAAAGGATGGGGCCGACAGGCAAAGTTGGGCCCCACAGGCAAAGTTGGGCCCGACAGGCAAAGTTGGGCCCGACAAGTAAGTTGGACCCCAAAGGCAAAGTTGGGCCCGACAGGCAAAGTTGGGCCCGACAGGAAAAGTTGGGCCTGAAAGGCAAAAATGGGCCCGGCAGGCAAAGATGGGCCTGACAGGAAAAGATGGGCCCGACAGGCAAAGTTGGGCCTGACAGGAAAAGTTGGGCCTGACAGGCAAAAATGGGCCCGACAGGCAAAGATGGGCCTGACAGGCAATGTTGGGCCCGACAGATTCACTGCTACGGACATTCGCTGCTGCTGTAATTAACAAAAGCGTTCCGCCGTGCACAATGCACATTGCATGCAGGCTAATCCTTTTTATGTTTCTAATTTTTTTCTCACTTGCGCCGTAAAGCTCCCACTTTAAACTCTGGACCCAAGTTGCCACTTGTATGCACCCTAGTCCGAATACGAGTCGTACTCCTGTACTCGTATGCTAGGGGCCCGTACGACTTCTTTTTTTTTCCCTTCTTTTCTTAAATCCGGTATTGTTTTTACTTTCTTTCTCAAATTATAATGAGAATCTGAAGATGATGCTCAGCCAAATGTTGTTTGTTTGTGCTGTTGCATCACTTTTTTTTTTCGTTTTTTTTTATTTATGACTTTTTTCTTTTTTTTTTCTTTTTTTTTGTACGGGGGCGTACAAGATGTACAGGTTCCCGTACATATATTACCTGTACGTTTCGTACAGAAAGGCCTTTCTGTACGTGTACGTTCGGTAACGCAGCTGTGGACCATTTCTCGATTCATGCGTGTCATCCTTGCACAGGGACACAAGGCAGGCCAATCCTCATAAATCAAGAAATGGTCCAGATTTTTTAAGTGGGAGCTTTAGCTTGTACATAAATCCTCAACATGACGCATAAACCGTAGGCAGAGAGGGAGGGAGAAGGAGAAGAGGACAACAAACGAGGGGCTGTGGCAAACTGTTTCGTCGGAGTTTCACTGACTGATTCATCAGGACGCTGAACCCTCAACAGTCTGCAGAATCCCCTAACTGATTACACTAAGTGATAATCCACCTTAACCCCGGCTGTGGTTAAGCATCAACGACTGCCCGACAACTGACATATATATATATATATATTGTCACAAACAGAACTGCCCGGTAAACCGTAGGCAGACAGAGAGAAGAGGACAACAAACGAGGGGCTGTGACAAACTGTTTCGTCGGAGTTTCACCGACTCATCAGGAGGCTACATATTGTCACATA